TTGGGTATAGGGAGCTTTCGGTTTCCGGATTCATGTGGGAACCGACTAATCCGGAATCGAGCCGAGTAGGACCACAAGGGAGGCAAAGCTCTTCTGGTTTCTGCGTGAACTTTAATGAGTAGTAGTATTTTATTTTTGGGCCCTACTCTAGAGATTAGGGGTTTGATCTATTTGATTGGTAATTAGGGAAAATGTTAGATAAGTTTTGTAATAATATTAAGAAAGAAGAGGTCCTTCAATGCTATTTTTTTTTTTAATGATCAAGATGTATTTTTTTGTAAGTGGTGTAAATGAATGGAGTGGAGGACCAGTCTATAATACTTGAAAATGTTACTTGAGTTTTTATTGAGCTCAATTGATACTGAAATGATCAGTTTTGCTATGGAATCATCGGATTACTCGGCTTATGAAGTCATCCATTATTATTTACAAATGATGTAATGACACTTGTCCTGCAATAAATGCACATTGTACGTGTGTCAATACATAAAATTATGGATGACTATATAAGTGAGTCATCCGATGACTATAGAATTTCTGATGAAATGATATGATACATGAGTTCGAGCTCGGCTCATTAATTATTAGAACCAAAAGACAAGTATTGCGTTGTTTTTGTTTTAAAATAGTGTCTTAAAACGTATAGCATAATGCGTCGCGTTTTGCTCTTTGTACTATACAGTGTAGATAATCATGTGTGTTGCATAACCTATTGAGTATAAATCATTACTGTTATATAAATAGTACAAATATATTTGCATATAATAAAATTGGATGGTGATTCCAAAAATTTTCATAATATTCGAATGAATTCAAAAATAACATCTAAAAATTATTTCTCACAAATGTTTAATGCACATATCATAATATATATATATATATATATATATTTAAAGCGAACATACTAATTATAATGATGTAAGTCATAGTTTAATTTTAATTATATACATTTTAATTACTATTCTTATTTAAATCCAACTTAATTTTAGACACTATATATGAATTTTTTATTTTTTTATTTTTATTAAATATAAAAAATTAGAATGATATGATAGAAATGGATCGATAAATATTGCACTATGCAACTTAGGACTTTGCGTTTCAAAATTCAAACAGTTAATTTAAAGAGATTATCAAAATTTTTAGGGGGTGATTGTTTATGGATTGAATTAGTTTTTATTTGATTTATTTCTAACTATAGTTAGTTTTGAAAAAAGGTGGTATAGTTATTTGTTAGTGGATATATTAAAATAATATTTAAATATAATAATTAAAGTTGATTTGATGTAAAGTAGGAAAAAAATGATTGGAAGTGAAGGTTAGTTAAATTATGTGAGTTGATGAATAGTGAATTAAAGTTGATGTGATGTGTAAGAATGATTGTTTGATATTATTTAATTATATTGATAATATAGGGATAGTTGAGTTGGGTTAAAGTTAAGTTAAATTTGAGTTTTGATTGGTTTTTTTACTGTACAAAATATAACAATCACCCCCTTAGTTTTTAGTTATCATTTGAAAATATGATTCTAATCCCTAAATAATATGAGTTTGAAATTTGAAATATGTTATTGTTTAAATGTAGTTATAGAAATATAGTCCAATATAGCGCACAATAGCGTGAAATAACTGAAAACATCGTAAAAAGCGTGTCATTTCATCATTTCGCGTAAGTTTTTTTGAAAAAAAAGGCTAAATATATAAAACCATGTCGTGTTTTTTTTTTTAAGCTACATAGCGAGCTATATAAAACATTGCTTTAGATCATAATATTAACACATGAGAGAAAAAAAATCTCTAAAAAATAAATGTTCTTTGTCGATGATTGTTGACCTAAAAATCTGCTTTAGTGTTGGATGACTGACACGTGGACGGCGAGAAAGCGAAGGGGGTACGCCCAAAAGTGCCGAGAAAACATTGCCCGACCTGTCGTGGCCGACCTCATTTAGGAAGCCGACCTTGTCTGGAAGCCGACCTCCAACACGAGGCAACCTCGGGTGCAGGCCGACGTCGGAGCGGACAAGCAGCATTTAATGCGGGTACCATCGACTGTTCAGAGCCCATGTGGAGACATCATTACGCAAAGGGGCCCCACCGACAGAAAAAGCTGCGCAGATGTCATTCCTCATTAAATGCCGCCGAATCTCCTCAAAAGATGAGCCCCCAGTTACTATAAATAGCAGCAATAAAGGCAATACGAGGATCTTTTGGCCGACACATAAATTCTGCATTAATCACCTCGGCTATTGCCAATTTTAGCATTATTGTACAAGAAAAACCGACCTCAAGTCCGCAAAATACCGACCTGATATTTTCCTAGATAATTTTCAGTTGTTCAATAAAATCGTCTGATCACGCAATTAATCTAATAGATATAAATATAAATAAGTTGATCAAATCCGTTTATCAACAGATCTTATTTATACTTATTTTAAATGAGATCATATTTACTAAATATAATAGTTAGAAAAGTTAAACTTAATTAATAAATTTTTTATTTTATCAAGTATTTAATTAGTGCATCTAATATTTTGGGTATGCAAATAAAATTAGCATTTAATTAGTTCCTAAAATATTGGGTATGCAATAATAATTTAGGAATATCCATGTAGTTCCTAAAATGTTGTTATGCAACACGTGCAAGAAGATTTTTTAATTTTTTTAAATATAAAATATTGCAACACGTAAAACTATACCAGTTATTTTTATTTTATTATATATATAAAATCTAATCAATATTTAATGTATCCTGAAAAATTAGATTTAGTTTAATTATCCGTACAACTGGTTGTAACTTTTTCAGTTGTACTTTTTTTATTTATTTATTTTACACTTTTAAATTAATGAAGCTCTCCGAAAATACCAAATCAAATAATTTATAAAAGTTTTTTTTTTTTACAATTTTAAATCTATATACATCCTTCTTAAAAAACTCATCGCATATATATGGACGAGTTTAAGAACGTTTCATAACCCAGCTTACAAAACTCCATCTCCACGAGTCAAAAAAATCACATCCATCATCTATCGTAACAACTTTAAATATAAATAAATAAAAGTCTAATTACTACTATAAATTCATTATCTATTTAGATTTTTTTTTTTTAAATCTAAATTTCACCTGTCTAATTACTAATATTTTAGATACTTTGAAATATTATTTGTATAAATTTTTTTACACCTTGACTCTCTCTCTATATATACATATATGGAGGTTAAATGAAGAATTTTGAGACATGTTTTTCTTACAGGTAGTTTAGAAAAATTTAGGTAGCTTGAAACATTATTTGTGAATAATATAGAATATTTTAGATGCTTTTATAGATGTTATAAAATATTTTAAGTATTTTTAATATTTATATATCACACTTAGAAAGAATGTTTTGCCCAAAAAAATATAAAATACACATTGTAAATGTTAATAGAAACAATCTTCAGTGTTCGTCTTTGATTTTGTCAAAACAAATCCCATAAAATCGGTGAAGTCAAAAGTTGTACGTAAAGTCTATCTATACTAAAAAAAAAAAGCAGATTCAAATTTCTTTATCTAATTCCTTCTTTTTCTTATCTAATTCCTTCTCATTATCTAATTGTATAGAATTTTGTTTCGATTTTGTTCAATCCTCTAATTGTATTTGTACTATATCCCATAAAGTGGGTTTAGCAAAAAAAAATCTCATAATATCCGATAAGTAACAAAAAAGTACGTAAAATCTTTACTAAAATAAAAAAACTTTATTTATTATCTAATTTATTATCTAATTATATGGAAATCTGTTCTGATTTTTTGGTCAGTACTACAAATTGTGCACCCTTGTTTAGGAGCTACTTAATGGGCAAGCTATGTGGAAATAACTCATTTAGTACTTTTGTCTCGTGCACGGTATTTATTTGTATTACACACTAGAAAATTGTGCACCCCGTGCATCGCGCGGACTCTGTACTAATAAATGACATTAAAATTGTGCATCCCGTGCATTACCCGATTTGGCCTATTACAAGTCACGAACTATATATATCCCCTACTTTTTTCTTTATTCATTTATATAATTATAAGACTGAATAAATGACCTTAATTTTATGCACCACGTGCATCACACGAGATCTGTACTAGTTTGTTAATTAATCAATCACCTCTCCCTGTATATTAATTCAAAACATGTTGAGCCTAATTGACAGGCTAGCATGCTTTATAATTATACGTTAAAATATGTTACTTTGTATTTAGATTCAGATAAAAATTTTGGAAACATAATTAGCTTGAAATGAATAATAAATAATTATTTTATCTTACCTTATAAATCTATCTTTCATTTATCATAAATTTATTGCCTCAAATAAATTTAATATAAATCATATTAATACGAGGGAAATGTATAGATAAATCCCCAATCCTAAATTCATCTTCTCATTCAGTCCCTAGTGAAATTTTTTTCCATTCAACTCCCTAGTCAACAACTTTATGGTCCCCTCTAAGGGTTAAATTACATTTCTGTCCCGATACCTGTTTTTAAAAGAAAAGTACCAGTTTTCATTCAGTATAGTACCAGGGGGCTTTCAAAATAGTATCTTGTGTTATAAATTTACATGGAGTACCAAATGTCTTTCTATATTGTACCTGACTTTATTCAAGGAGTACCAACACATATAAAATGGTATCAGAGCCTAGGTTTTATTAAGAACTCTTAGAAGA